GTGAGTGCCAGGATGTCCTGCCCACATTGAGTCATGGCACTCCTTAAGGATTTCTTTCCTTAAGCTTCCCCACTTTGGGACGTAGATCCGCTTGCCCTTGGTGTATAGCAAGCCGTCCTCAAGCCAAAACCTTCTTGTCTTCCCATCCTTGACAAACTCCACAATGTTCTTGGCTTGGACGTCATGTGACAAACCTTCTCGGACACGAACCAAGAGATGGCTTTGCGGCTTGAGTACCGTAGCCATTAACTCTACTCGTCTACTTAGAGCATCGGCCACCACGTTCTCCTTTCCTTGCTTGTACTCTAGCTTGTAATCAAACTCCGCTAAGAACTCTTGCCACCTTGCTTGCTTAGGTGTGAGCTTTTGTTGGGTTTGAAAGTAGCTAGTGGCAACGTTGTCCGTCTTGATGATGAATGGGGTACCAAGCAAGTAATGCCTCCAAACTCTGAGGCAATGGACGATGGCGGTCATCTCCTTTTCATGGGTCGTGTACCTCTTCTCGGCATTGTTTAGCTTGCGACTTTCATAGGCTATCGGATGTCCCTCTTGCATCAACACTCCTCCTATGGCAAAGTCGGAAGCATCAGTGTGCAACTCGAATGGCTTACTAAGGTCGGGCAACCTTAGTACAGGCTCCTCCATTAGGGCCTTCTTCAACCTCTCAAAGGCCTCTTGACACCGGTCCGTCCATTCCCATGCCTTGTTTTTCTTAAGAAGGTCTGTTAAGGGTGCCGCTATAGCTGAATACCCTTTTATGAATCTCCGATAGTAGTTGGCTAGCCCCAGAAAGGATCGTAGTGTTGGTACCTTGGTCGGCGGTTCCCACTCTTGAATGGCCTTGATCTTGTCCTTTTCCATCATAAGTTTCCCCTCCTTTATCTTGTGGCCGAGAAATTCTACTTCTTTTGTGGCAAAGGAGCATTTCTCCTTCTTGACATAGAGTTCATGCTCCCGAAGGGTCTTGAACACTATGCGCAAGTGCTTGACGTGCTCCTCCAATGTCTTGCTATAGACAACGATATCATCAATGTAAACCACGACAAACTTGTCAAGATAAGGATGGAATACCTTGTTCATCAATGTGCAGAATGTTGCGGGGGCATTGGTCAGACCAAATGGCATGACTTTATACTCGAACGCTCCATATCTAGTCACCATCGCCGTCTTCGATTCGTCTCCAGGGGCTATCCTCACTTGGTAGTATCCCGATCGAAGATCTAACTTTGTGAAGTACCTTGCTTCACCAAGTTGATCGAATAAGTCGGCGATCAACGGAAGTGGGTACTTGTTCTTGATGGTAATCTTGTTCAATGCTCTATAGTCGATGCACAACCTTAGGCTACCTTCTTTCTTGCGTTGGAACAGGACGGGTGCACCATATGGGGACTTGGAGGGTTGGATGTAGCCAGCATCAAGTAGCTCGTTGAGTTGCTTCCTCAATTCCTCCAACTCGGGTGGCGACATCCTATAAGGTGATTTGGAGGGAGGCTTAGCACCAGGCTCCAACTCAATCGCATGGTCGACCTCTCTCCTTGGTGGCAACTTCTTTGGCAGTTCCTTAGGCATCACGTCCGCAAACTCCGTAAGGACGTCTTCCACTTGTTTCGGCAAAGGCCCGTACTTCTCCTCCCCTTCATTCAACATTAGGGTTGCAAGAAATGTGGCCTCGCCTTTCTTCCAAGATTTGGCAAATTGAATTGCCGACAAGTGTTGGGTACACTTCTTGGCTTGCCTTTCCAATGGCACCAGGCAAGGTTGTCTCCCGTCGGCTAGGATACAGAAGATATTGTAAAAGGGAATGGGAAAGGCTCGTACCTTGTCCATGAACTCTAACCCAATGACTACGCCATAGTCGTCCATCTTGACTACGGTGAAGTCGATCGTTCCCTTCCATGTGCCAATGTCTACGTGCACATTACGCGCAACTCCAACAATGGGGGTGGCGGCGGAATTTACCGTCTTCACGCTACCAGGCTCCTTTGTGACTCGGAGGCCAAGCCTTGTGGCTTCCTCCGACGTCATGAAGTTGTGTGTTGCTCCCGTGTCCACCAACACACGCGTCGTCTTGTCACCAGTCTTGACGTCGACGAACAATGATCCTCCCCCAACTTGAGCCTTAGGTTGTGGGAGGGTTGTCTGGATGGCATTCAGTAGACGGATGCATCCCATCGTTGCATCGTTACTCTCTCCTCGGCCTTGTCCTCCTTGAAGGCCATGGCCTTAAGGGCCTTCTTTTGTGGGCAATCTCGCATCATGTGAGGGCCGTCGCATAGGTAACAAGTGGGTTGCCAAGACTTACCCTTGCCTTTGTCATGCTTATCGGCTTTCTTCTCCTTCGGTTTGCTTGTCTCGGCCTTGTCCTTCGGCTTATGTTCTCCCCCACTTCTCTCATGGTTACCCCTCTTCCCCGTGGACTTGGAATCACCTTGGTGGCTTGATTTAAACTCAATCAAGGATTCGGCAGCGGCAATGGCATCAGACAATGTTTGCACGTGTCTCCTTTGTAGTTCGAGTTTTTCCCAATTTTGCAGTCCACTCATGAAGTACATGAGCTTGTCTTCCTCTAACATGTTGGGCACCTCGAATAACAAGCTCACGAAGGCGTTGACATAGTCTTTGACGCTCCCCGTTTGCTTGAGCCACCTTAGTTTCTCCTTGGCTTCGTACTTGGCATTTTGGGGATAGAAGTGCAACATAAGATCTTTCTTAAATTCATCCCAAGTGGTGAGAGAGAACGTACCTTGCTCAATCTCCATGCTCCGACGACGCCACCACATAAGGGCATTGTCAGCTAAGAACATGGTTGCCGTTGAGATTTTGGACTCGTCATCTTCAAGCTTCAGGTACTTGAAGTATCGCTCCACGTTCCACACGAATGTGTCGAGCTCTTTTGCTTCCCTCTTCCCATTATAGGATTTGGGTTTAAAGGAGTCGATTACCTTTGAGTCCAATGCCTTGATTTCCCTCGGCCCTTGCACGAATTGCTTCACGACTGCTTCTTTACAAAACGCCACATCTCCCTTAAGTTCCCTTGTGTCCTTTATCTCTTCTTGAAGTGCCACAAACCTTGCCTCTATGTTGTCAAGGTGAACCTGGACTTCCCTCCGCATCTTGTCTGCCATGGTGTTGAGAGCGCCAAGGAGCTCATCTCGTAGCCCTTCCACCAAGCCACGCAGTTTATCCTTACCATTGTCCAGCATGGTTTGGATTTCCTCCTTGTCGACAACGTCCTCATCAAGTCGAGTATCGAACTCGAGTATGGTTCGTTCCACCTTCTCGAGTCGCTCTTCCATGGTCTCCATCGATGCTTGCAAGTCCTTTAACTTTGGCTTGCTCTTGGCAACGTCTTGGACCTCGGCAGTACGCTCCCTTAGATCGGAGACTCCGGACACCATCTCTCCACTTGCCATATCCTACTTTCCGTCAAGTGATTCACGAACCTGGCTCTGATACCAGCTGTCACGGGATGACTCTTTAAGCCTTCCGCCCGTGCGGCACTTAGACTTGAATACCTCGATGAACAAGCTAAGTAAGCCTTCGAAGCCTCGCTTCCCCGGATCGAATCACAAAGAAAGCTAAGATAGCTTGGAGAATGCTAAGATCACTTAGAAGATGGGAGAAAGGAAGCTTTGTATTGAAAGTTAAGAGAACTTTACAATTGCTTACAATTCTTGGATGGTTTGGCCAAATGGCCTTACGTCCTATTTATAGGCCTAAGTCACCTCCTCAATGGAGGGTTCTAGAATCCCCTACTTACATCCAAAAATATCTAGCATAGTTCTAGATACAACTTGCCTAATCTAGATTATTCTAGGTGAGGCTTAAATATGTACACTTGTGTGGAATGTTCCGGAATGCCCTAGATTATCTTGAATGCTCCGCCACGTTCTTGATTTCTCCGGGACGTTCCAGAAGCTTCCATGAAGACATGGCTTCATGGGCTTAGATATATGATGTCTTGGGCATTTTCTTTGTTTTTAACACATGGCCCGTGACACTTGGAACCTAAGAACCACTCTTCTGCTCTATGTTATCCATCACCTATCCATATTTTGGTTGGTTGGATAAGCTTCATAGGCTTAATGAAACTGATGAATGGATCTTGCAAAAGAAACAAGAAGTCATTACTCCCACTTCTTCTGTATCCTCCACCTTTCAGGCTTCTCATTATCACATTGATAATGGCTTACTGAAGTACAAGTCCAGGATTGTGATTAATCCCACCTCTCACTGGGAATCGAAATTGTTTGCTGAACACCACTCTACCCTAGCAGTTGGACACCAAGGGGTTCTTAAGACTTATTAGAGGCTTAAGAGAGTTATACTGGCCTAGAATAAAGGGAGATATTAAGCTTTTTATCTCCGAATGCCCTACTTGCCAATGAAACAAGTATGAAACCATTGCTCCTCCTGGCATCTTGCAGCCTCTACCTATCCCATAGAGAATTTGGACAGATATCTGCATGGATTTTATTATGGGACTACCTCTTAGCAAAGGGAAATCTGTTATAATGGTGGTAGTTGACAGGTTGAGTAAGTATGCCCATTTCATACCCTTAGCCACAACTGCCACAACTGCAAAATATCTTAAAATATCTTAAATTCCTTAATAAACTTAATTTTCTGGTTCAAAGCAATTCAGCTTTTTTTTTGGCAAAAAAGCTTGACAATCGGAAATATAAATTTATTCATATCCACGAAAGATGAAAATTTATATTGCATCTCTCTTAAAGACATCATATAACTGTCAATTTTCAACTTTCTATGGCAAAGCCAAGAACCGGACGGATCAAAAATCCCAAATCGATGGTTCATTACTAATTCATGGTCAACAGATTTCATTCCGTTCACGCTTACTTAGATACACTCTTGATGGGCGGCTCAGATTAAAAGTAAGAACTTACACGTTCATTACGCACTCACGAGTCACGACACGCGCACAATTGAACTGAGAGGAAAAAGGCAAATTAGGGTTTGGATTTTCTAGCTGAAGTAAAATTGGGGATTTCCCATTGAAGGAAGAGGGTCGGAGGAGAGCGCTCCGATTTCCAATTCGAAACGCGTTCGGTAAAGGTACTTCTAAACTAAGTGTTTGAAAGAAATTGCTGCTTCTGAAATCTTTCTGTTCATTTTCTGTGGTTTTTATGCCTTCGATTTTACTTGTTTGACCTCGATTTTGATCCAATTGCCTTCTGCTGGAAACTGTTCTTCTAGCTCCTTATATATAATATATTAGGGTTTAGTGCAAAAACCCCAATTCCGTTGGTGTAAATTTTCTAATTTATTTTTTTTATTTTTATGAATTATTAGACATATTTACTGATTGCTGTCTTTTCTTACCCTAACAGAATACTGTTATTTTAGGGTTTAGATATGGATGTCGACGTTGATCACTATTATTTTAGGGTTTAGATATCAGACAAATTTCGTGAGTAACCCAGATCTGGAATTCGCTTGGATTTCGATTTGTGTTCACCAATTTATTTGCAATATGTTTGTTAATCTTAATTCGTGTTTTGAGGGTTTCTGGGAAGTATAATATAAATGCTTGTCAATATTGGGATAGTGTTTGATTGTGGTTCTTACTTTGGATATAAAACGTAGTAATGTATGCATTGTGCTGCAGTTATGAGAAGTTGTAGTGGTTGATTATGGATAAAGAGAGTCCGCGGTCTATTTCTTTTCGCACACATCGTAGAGGCGAAAGGAGTAATTTAAACCAACATAGTAAAGGTAAACAAAGCCTACCGTCGCCCCATTGTGAATTGTATCATGTTAGATATTGAGGCTAGATAATGATGTGGGTTTTTGGTGTAGCATTGATTTTCGTATCGATGAAATAGATATTTTGTTTAGCACGAAAAATGTGAATAAGTTGTTTGGTGGTGCAGATGTTGAAGAGGGATTCCCTCTGGGAAGGGTGACACAGGATTATCCCATGAAGATTGTTTGGAAGAAGGGCTTTATTCGATTGGTTCTTGTAGGTGGCATTTTGTGGATGCTACTAATTCTCCTCGCGTCATTATTTCATGTTTGGTCCTGCCAGTCTTCTATCTCTTTCTTCTCAGGTATCGTAATTTTTCTTATGGAACTATGCATGAAGTTCCTTGGGTTCTTTGGTTGAGTTCATGCTTTATAAATACAGAGAGCCTTATATGTTTTTCGTTGCCGTTTGGCTCAGCCCTGATGCCCCATTTTTGAAGTAGGTTAGTTGATTGGTGCATCTTGTTCCAAAAAATGAAAAGTCCTGTGTTTAAATTTACTGTTTTTGGTATTCATATACATCTTATCGATACTGAACAGTGGATTTTAGGTATTCTTTGCCTACAATAGGTGATAAAACATTTTTATTATAATTTTTTTAATTAAAACTTAATTATGTGAGTCAGGGATAACATATTTAGTAAGCCTGTAAAGGTCTGGCTTGAAATACACGAACAAATGCTGAAAGTATCATTATTGTTGGTTTAAACTTTCCTGCAGTATGAGGGGTTGTAGTTGTCAACTTGTGAGTATCAAATAGTTCCCAATGTAGTAAGGAAATATTGTCAATATTTATTAGTACAACTTGCAATAGGTGCTAAATACAATTTTATAATATTGTTAGCGCATGCTTGGTAAATAGGGTGTCTGTTATTTAATTTGAGGTAAACAGATACATGTTCTTAGTAGTTTGATCCACTTGAATTGCAGCTATGTGTAACAAAGAGAGCAAGGTCTTCTCCATGTTAGACTCCCTTGGGTTTGTACCAAAAGGACAATCGCAACACCGTAAGAACACTAAAATATATTTTTCATTGAATTATCGATAACTTATTTAGTTTATGTAATAATGTTGTTTTGTTTTCATCTCAAATAGGCTGTCCGATTCCTGTTGTCAGTGATCCTGATAAGATAAAAATTCCAAAAGGAAGAACTCCTGATGAAATTGTCAAAAACTTAACATACGTTTTAGATGATGAGATTTTGCCTGACGGAACTCTGTCATCCCCACTATTCGGAGGACATCAAAATTGGGCTCAGAGAGAGGAGAGTTTTAGACTAAAATCTGACATGAAGGTAAGGGCAAACATCAATACTCTGTTAACTTCAGTCAAAGCATGTTCTTTAATTATTTGTTTTCGTATCAGAAGTAAAGGAGTAATGGGGCCCGACTTCCCTAGCACCTTCTTATAAATAAACTATGGTTTACAACATGTTTAGAGTATGTTAAAATAATTGAAAATAATGGTGGTGGATATGGAGAAAATTGTCCACTTAATGTTGTGTTTCCCTTTCCCATGTATAGAAATGTTCTTTTTCTGTCTGTTTAAGGGGTGTTACTTTTTCCATTCTCCATTGTGAGTTGGTTAATGTTTATATCCTGCAGTTGCACTGTGGTTTTATTCGAAACGGTGGTGCTGAAATGGCTCCTGCAGACATCAACTATGCCAAAAAATGTAGGTTTGTGGTTGCATCAGGCATTTTTGATGGTTATGATGTACCCCATCAACCTTCAAATTTAAGTCCTCGTTCTAAGAAGCTCTTCTGCTTTCTCATGGCGGTCGATGAAACATCTCTTGAATTTATCAAGGGAAATGTGACAGTCAGAGAGGATAATGATGGGGGAAAATGGGTTGGTATCTGGCGTCTTGTTTTGTTGAAGCATCCGCCTTACGATGAGCCAAGAAGGAACGGGAAGGTCCCCAAGATATTAACCCACCGCATGTTCCCTAACACCCAGTACAGCATTTGGATCGATGGTAAAATGGAGCTCATGGTTGATCCATTGCAAATTTTAGAAAGGTAATAAATCGACTTTTATCTTTCTCATTCTACATATTTGTTTGTGCACATATAGCTATAATCGAGGAAACTAAATTTGATGTGCAGATATTTATGGCGTGGGAAGCATACATTTGCCATTTCTCAGCACAAGCACCACCGCAGTATATACGAGGAGGCTGATGCAAACAAGCGGAGGAAGCGATATGCTCGACCTCTTATCGATCTACACATGAAAATTTATCGTTATGAGGGTTTGGAGGCATGGGATCCAACCAAGAAAACCGTTAGTGGTAAGAAGGAACACCGTAGATTTTTTGAGTTGTGTAATTTGTTAGTTCTGTTTATTTGTTTCTCCTCCGCTCATTTTTATAAACTGATTCATTATCGCTATCAATCCCTAGATTCACACTCAGCTCACAAGTTACTTCCTAAGTATTTTGGCCCATTTGAAGTCATTGAAAGGGTGGGTCCGGTAACCTACAGACTCATGCTGCCTGCTAACTCCAAGATACACCCAGTTTTTCATGTTAGCATTCTCAAGAACACTTGGGTCCATTAGTGCAGTCTTTTGCAGTGTTTCCATAATTTCCAAACACTGAGGTGCAACATGATGAACCTTTCAATTATCTTAAGTAGGAGGATGTACAAGAAGGCCAACATTGCTAGTGTCTAACTCTTGGTGCAGTGGATAGGCTAGGATGAGCAAGCTGCCACTTGGGAGGATTATGAAGATTTCCAGGCTCGATTTCCTCAGTTCCAGTTAAAAACCTTGTGGACAAGGTTTTTCTCAAGGATGGGTGTGATGATAAGAACCTATAGCAAGCTTTAGTGTAATAAAATATGTAATGTGTTGGGCTCAGGATTGTTATGGGCTGTATGGTATGGGTAACTTAGGATCCATGTTAGTTTGTAGCTCATGTGCCTAGCATGAGTTCAAGCTTTTCCATATATTGTAACGGTTACTCCATTTTTATAATATATTATGAAATTCAACTTTTATCCCTTGGATATTCTCTCGTCTCCTTCCCAGATTCATACCTCCATTGCTGCCAAGTTGAGGTTGAATTAGGTAGAGGGTTTTGATCCTATCACTCTTTGCCAGAATGTGAGGAAAGAATCAGGGGAAATATCCGCGGAAAAAAGTCAAGAACCAATAGGCAACACCCACACAGAAAGATTTAGTTTCAAAACTGTGGAGAGAAATTAGAAAATAAAGATTCACTTACCAATACTATGCTCCTTTCATGGGGAAATTTGGAAATATAGCCATTTAAAGAGCATTCATTGAAATATAACCTTGTTTTCTAATTCTTATAAACTAATCAAAATTGATGTTCTTAATACTTAATTATCCTAAACTAAAACTCTCAAAAAATTTGAAAAAATAATCAAAATTTAGATCCTATATAGTATATAGACACCCTTTTAAATTTACGATAATTATAATAAAATATTGATATAAGAGTACTAATATAATTTTAACTAAAAACTTGCTCATTTGATCTTAATCGTGATAAAAGAATTAAGGCTTTAGATGTGCAAAGATCCAAACTTCATTGGACTCCTAATAAGTAATCAGAGAAATGGAAAGCCAATCAAAGGATGAAGACTCTCTGGAAAAGTGGCCAGGCATCTCCTTTCTCGGCTCTCTTGGCGTCGGCAAACGCTCTCTCATTCCAATTAGTCATCTCTCCCTCCTTTGATCGATACTATATTCATGATTTGTTGATTTGTAAGATTACTGGGTTTGGATTTTGACGATGCTTCTAATTCTTCGTCGTCATGTCAGCCAGTAGTTAATGAGTATGTAAATTTTTGAGTTTTAGGATCAACCTTGGGAACAAAGAATATTGTTTTTAGGAGTTTTGGGAGGCAAACTAGAAGATGACATGTTGGTCAATACATGTAGAGAGTAAGTAATGTGATCCATCGCTCTACTATGAATGATCCATTGACCATAATGTTAAAGTTAATCTTTTTCTTTAAAGTTGATCCTTTTATGTAATATGAAATGTTTTGGGCCTCTAATCTTTTGCCACATGTATGGTTGAGATCTTTTGTAAAAGGGATGACTAATTGCCTTCTTAGTTGTCCCACTATTTCCAGTATGTTCTCTTACTCCGTTTCCTGCAGCAAGCTGCTGCTCATATTTGTCAAATATTGCTTCATCTTTCTAGTCTAATTCGTGTGTTTAGTTTATTTAGATGATAGATTTTCTGAATATCAACATGGTATCAGAGCTAATTTGATCAAAGAGTGAGGCGTTTTTTGATTCTCAAAAGGGGAAAAATTCTAAATGAAACCCTATAATCAAAATTTTCAAATTCATGGTTGGTTCAAGTAGCAGTGGAGAAATTCGAACTCCTATCTTCAGTGGAGTAAATTATGAATTTTGGAGGACAAAGTTGAGAACAATTTTTGTATCTCATGATTTGTGGAGTTTGATTGAAGAAGGCTATGTGGTACCTTTAAGTATTGTGGCTTTGATAGAGGCTCAAACAAAGGAGTTGAAGGAAAACATCAAGAGAGATGCAAAAGCTCTTGGGGTCATCCAAAATGCTATCTTAGATGAAATTTTTCCAAGAATCTCAAATGAGACAAGTGCCAAATCAGCTTGGGATGTGCTGGAGAAGGTCTATAGAGGCTCTACTAAGGTAAGGGCTGTCAAACTCCAATCTTTGAGAAGAAATTTTGAGTACATAAGAATGAAAGATGATGAATTGCTAGATGATTACCTGAGTAGATTGTCTGAGATTATTAATCAAATGAAAAGTTACGGTGAAACCTTGCCTGATGAGAGAATAGTTCAGAAGTATTTAATTAGCTTGCCAAGAAAGTATGACAACATAGTTTCAATCATAGAGGAGAGTTTCAATCATAGAGGAGACTAAGGATTTGTCAACTTTTAAGTGTTGAAGAATTAATTGGTTCACTCAAAGGTTTTGCTCAGAGACTATCTAGGCATGACAACAATGATGTAGAAAATGCTTTCCAAACACTTACAGTGAATCCAAAAACTGAAGCTAGTTCAAGTCAAAGCAAAGCCAAGTCCAACAAGAATTGGAAAGGCAAAAACAAAAAGTGGGAAGGAAAGCATAATTTTGAAGAGAAGAAAAAGGTTGAGAAGAGTTTGTATGTTTTGAAGTGCAAAATTTGTGACAAAGCTCATTCCGATGAATGTTGGTTCAAGGGAAAAGTGAAATGCCACAAGCGTAGCATATTCGGGCATATGCAAAAGGATTGTACCTACAAAGATAATCAGCTAGCTCACTACTCCGAAGTAGAAGGTGAAAAGACCAATATGTTTTATGTTGGTCATGATACAACCATCCAAGAAAAAGCTTAAGTTTCGTTTGTGGACAACGGTTGTAGCAATCATATGACGGTAAACAAGAACATTCTCCATAATATTGACACTACAAACCCAACCCAAGTGAAGATGGGAAATGGGCACCTAGTCAATACATTGGGAAGAGGTACTATTGTCGTGCATACGAAGAATGGAAAGATGTTCATCAAGGATGTCATGTTAGTTCCTGATTTGAAGCAAAATTTGCTAAGTCTTGGACAACTCATTGAGCATTTGGAAATAATACTTGCAAGATATATGATGGGAAGAATCATGAGCAACTCTTGGCTAAGATTGAGATGAGGAAGAGTAGAAGTTTTCCTCTCACAATTGAGTATGCAACTCAATCTACACTCAAGATGGAAGTGCAAGAATATTCAAAGGTATGGCATAAAAGGCTTGGCCACTTGAATTTTCAAAGTCTCAAGAAGCTACAAGAAAAAGAAATGGTGTATGGGTTGCCGAGTATCCAAGAAAATGAAGAAACATGTGAAGGGTGTGCACTTGGGAAGCATCATAGAGATTCATTTCCACATGATAAAACTTGGAGAGCAAAAGCTTTTTTGGAATTGATTCATACAGATATTTGTGGACCCATGAAGATCTCTACTCAAGTGGGAAACAAATATTTCCTAATCTTTGTGAATGATTATTCCAGAATGACTTAGGTATACTTTCAAAGGCAGAAATCAGAAGTGTTCTCAATCTTCAAGAAGTTTCAAGCTATGGTTGAGCGACAATTTGGTTATCTAATCAAAGTTCTTAGAAGTGACTGTTGGAGATATGCCCTGAAAGTCAATCTTTGGAAGAAACCTTTCAGGACAATGTCTATATGTATGGAAAACTCTAATACATCAAAAGGCAAAGTCACTCATTAGGACTATCTCAATAAACGATATACGTCCTAAATAGTGAATCCATGGACAATGGATCGATGGAAGAAGTAATCTAATGATGTTAGACTGCAGAGACCTTCTTCACATAACCATGATGTCCAAAAGGTTCTTGGTCATAGGATTGTCAGAGGGACATTGACAATACATAGACTAATACATACTATGTTCCCTTCCAATGGGAAGGATGGAAAGTCTCATGCCATTCGTGTAGTGACACTAAGAAAAGTATGTAGGTGCTCATTATGGGAATGAGTTCACTGAACACAATCAAACGAGAGTACTTGCATGGAGGCCTACTCACATGTCAAGCAAGTAACTCTACTGGTTGGAATAATGTAAGTAATCCTTTGACCTGAAACATCATAGTTGTCTTGGGGATATGTCGCTGATCATTTGATAATGAGACGTGACCACATCTCATCTTGGATGTGTTCTATGCATTGTTGAGGTCAGTAATTTATTCTTAGAGGCATGTGAATGATCAACAAGGGATCTCTAATCCTCGTTATGAGAGGAAGAATACTCTAAGATATGATTCAGGAATCTTCGGCCGAAGTATCGAGCCTAATGATAGAAAGCGTTCCTATACGACTCAATAGAATCATATAACTTGATATAATCACATTAGGGTTTTGACATTAAATATCCATACCCTAGTAATGTGATTGTGAATATTGTATTAGAGAAGGATCGAATTACATTGTAATTCCAACTGAATAGGTTATTCGAACAAATTCTACATTAACTTGGGTAGCCACGATATATGATTAGATGTCACTCATGGCTTGTGGGTTCTTCTAGATGATTAAATAAGTAGTCATCAAAGAAGAAGGAGAATTAAAAGTAAGTTTTAATTCACTAAGTAATTGGATAAATACTAATCATTTGGATTGGTGCCAATCACCTCACTGCCTTGCTAATTAGAACCTAAAACGATTGTACACCGATACACTTGTGGTGAGACAACTAATGGATGATGGAATTAATTAATTGGATTAATTAAGTGTTATGATTAATTAGAAAGTCTAAAGAAATCATATAAACGATAAAAGATAGTTTAGGACTTAAAGAAAAGTTCGGGTTCATTCGGGCCCATTGGGCCCAAACGAATTGGGTCCTTTTATTCAAGCATAGAATGACTTGAGATAATGAAAGCCCAAAGTCCAAACCCACACTAAGGGGCCGGCCAATACAAGTGAAAGGAGAGAGAGGGAGTCAAGTGGTTGACTCACTTCTTTGACGTTTATAAAAGAAGTTTAGTGAAAAAGTTTTATTAGGGTTTTTGTGTGTTCTTTTTCACAAAAGAGAAAAACA